AGAGAGAGAGAGAGAGATACCAGACCGAATGTATTCTGGTAACTGCCATTCGACTGCAACATATGTGCGCGTGTGTGTGAGAGTGCAAGGTGACAATTGTAAATCTGAAGAAAATCAACCGGCCGAATTTTTGCTGCTGACGTACTACGCAAGGAAACAAAGTAGGGAATACAGAACAGAACGTGTATACAACTTAATAATGCAATGAAGTCTTAAGAGGTCTCTTAAGAACACCTAAACACAGTCTGTGTATAGAATAGATCTTAGATTTTAGGATACAACTGTAAGCATTAATTTTGAAATAAATGTTTATTTTTGAAAGCAATCTTAATCGACGCTGTTTTCTTATTCAACAGAAATATCATCGAGAGAATAATCCTCCTTCATTAAATCTCGAGCTCGGTTCGTTCCACTGTATCCAGTTACCGATCCGTAGATTCGGTTCTTGAAGTGTCCTATCTGCATTTCCTGTTCCTCTCCACCTCTCTTCAACCGCTGTCCGCAATCAGTCAAACTTGATCTCATTTCCTTCGCACAATTGCGTCGACTACACACCACGGACTCATGTTCTGGTCGTTGTTATAATTTTACTACGCGATACAATATTACGATTATGTTATAACAAATTTAACAATGTTAAAACAACTAGTATTCGATTGGATCTTATAATACTTTGTAAACGATTAGGCATACTCTAAACTAATATTGACTCGATATTACTTCAAATTTCCATAATCTTTTGTTTTAGCGTTTCTTTGTTTACTATTTCAAAATTTCGCAATCTCTTTTCCACTTTAGCCCATAGCAAGCTTTGGGGTGTTACGAGCCGAGGGCCAGGCAGCTTCGCGTGGCTGGAGGTTTCATGCGATTGGGATTTCTTCTGTAAGGGAAATTGCGTGGACCAGCCGATGCTTCTTTCAGCACGAGTGGCCACCCGTGATAATCAGGATAGGATTCGTGGAAATTGAAGTTTGGATGCCTCGTAACTTTCACAAGAAGAAATGAGCGGTAAAGGTATATCTTCGTGGGTTTGTACCAACTACTGCTTCGAATCGGGAAATGGAATGATTGAATTTTGTAAGCAAAATAAACTGGTAAAAGATAGTATATTACAAGTTTTGGTTAAATACGATTGTATATGTATGAACGTGGAGTTACGGATTCAAGATCGTGGTCCCAGCTTGTCGCACTGGGTAAGCGGGAGCTTGTAACACCTCAACGTACTCGGCCGATGTGTCCGAAAGAGAAATAAACTCGATCTTGCCAACGTTTCTTCGTCGATAGGTTGAATTTTCAAAATTAGTGTCACCCATATGTAACCGACACAGCGCACGAAACGCGTGTTCAAACAAATGTTGTCGACTTTGGTGCACTTATACTTGTATTTTTCTTTGTTTCTTTGATAATTCGTTTTTTTCTCGTATCTCCTTCGCGTTGTTTATTTGTAACGTTCCCAGTTAACACTAAACCTACCACGGTCAAAATGACCGATTTTTTATTTTACGATACTACAAACTTTGGAGACTTTTTCGTGAGAAATGATCGAATAAATTACATTATTGGAGAAAATCTCATAATTAAAACTTTACAAAATCCAAATGAATAATAATCGTCATTACTGCTCGGTTGGTTTAGTGTTAATTTAATATTTTGTATTAAATACAACTGTATGTAATACAAAACTGTTGATTTGCTCTGATTAAATAAATTCGCAATTTGCGAATAAGATTTACCGTCCGTATGTAATTTATAAATTACCTTTCTCTCAGCTATCGAAATTTCGCTACGATATTTAGGAACAATGTAATGCCTGAACAAGATATCGCACCAAGGCCATCCGAATATGTAAATATCTTGATTTTATACGTAAAGAATTCATACCGTACCGAATACCTTTGCGAAGCGAATTTCGTTATAATAAAGTTTATATCAATTTGAAAGTTTAGATATTCTGGTATGCAGTCCCCTTCGTAAGAATATCGCAACTTTCATCGTTAGGAAATAACAATCGTTTAAAGTGTAAAAAGGGCGCGAGTACTCCTGCGACTTACCGTAGCTTATAACAGTTACGAGATCATTTCGATTGTTCGTAACTTTTTCAGGAACCGAAGCCGATGTTGAAACTTCTCAACTTGTATGCTATGAAATAATGCTATGAAAAATATAAGTTCTTGGAAGAGAAAGTAAGTGTACAAGGAATAAGAGGATTACCCGATACCACTGAAAATTATTTTTGTCCGAACGTTGTTACCTGCTAGACCTTTTCGGCTTCGGGCCCATTGGGCCAGGCGATTTAGAACCCCTAATCTCGGCCCACGGAGCGAGCAATAACGGTTTGCACAAGATGGGGCGGTCCAAACTTCATCAAAGGCGCGATCCAAACTTCAGAATTACAGCCCCTGATGGGCCCAACCGATGCCCAACTTTCTATCTTTTCCGCTCGGAACCATAAAAGCAACAATAACCTCCTGGGTTTCACTATTTGAAACGTTTAGGTCATTTTCAAGACCTAAAATTCCTGCAAGCAGGAATGTTCGTCATTATTCACTCCAGAAATGAGTGAATACCAGTTTGCAGTATACATATTTCGTGTTCACGTGTGTCTATTTCGTCGAGTGTAATTTTCGGTTAACACCTTTAATAAGTTAGTGATTAAATCATGGACGAAGAAAATGTTGAGAAAGTAGTTTGGAAGGATTTGGTAAGTTGAACAATGTATTAGGGAAAACTATAACCTAAATAGAGTCTGTGTCCTAAATTGCATAATAAAACTATTGTACGATTTTTAAATATAAATATTTTGTATTGCATATAACTGTAACAAAACTATTCTTGTGAAAGTCTTCCTAAACGTGAAAAAACTTAGAGTTATGATGTCAATGTTGAAAATAATATATAAACAAAGTATAAGTGATGGTATTTCAATTTTCAGAGTAAAAGTATAATAACCGTTAGCTTGGAAGGTATAATTATTATTCATAAGTATCAAATTTATTACATTAATATATTTGTTTATAGGGACTTGTAAATGTATTATGCAAAGCATGCGAAGATCTCAAGTGGAAGTCGCCTACGAAAATTCAATGCGAATCTATTCCATTGGCACTACAGGGTAAATAAAAAATATTTATACGTATTAAAAATATAAAGCTATAGCTATATGCGATTAAATTACTTATTTTATGTTAAATATATAGGTAAAGATATAATAGGGTTGGCAGAAACCGGATCTGGAAAAACAGCTGCTTTCGCGCTTCCCATATTACAGTCGTTATTAGAAAATCCGCAAAGATATTTTGCTTTAATTCTAACACCTACCAGAGAATTGGCATTTCAAATATCGGAACAAATCGAAGCTTTAGGTAACAATGACGTTGCCGATGTTCTCTTCTTTTCTATATTGGCAATAATTTTCATGATTCTATCGCGTTTTAGGATCGAGCATCGGTGTAAAATGTGCTGTAATAGTAGGAGGAATGGATATGATGTCTCAAGCGCTATTGTTAGCAAAAAAGCCACACGTTTTGATCGCTACACCAGGAAGATTGGTCNAAATGAAAGACATTGAAGAGAGCAAAAAATCAGGCAAGAGAAAGAAAGGGGACTATAATGAAGATGACGACACCGAGCAGTCGATTGGATTCAGGAAAAGAATGAAAGGCAAAATTAAGGGTAAAATTAAGGGTAAAAAAGGTTGAACCGCTTGGTTAACTTATTCGATACATTTGTTAATTCTTAATAAGTAATCTCAATACAGGATAATATTTATTTTTATTATCATTGTTGTTTGTTTTATTCATAAATCTGATCACCATTCCTCTCATATGTATGTGCATCCAAAACTCATAGTTGGTATTAAAATCCTTAAGTAATTGTCAATTTACAAAACCACATTTAAGTTTTTTATTTGCAATCTTCGAAACTCTGTTCGTAATAGAAGAGGATTCCATTGATGGACAAATCGGTTACCGCAGTGTCAATTTATCACTATGTAACTAATCAAATTAAACGATAAATTCAAGCTTTTACAAACAAAAACCAAACATTTTAACTTTATAAGCTGTAAAATAAAGGGAAATGTCTTAATGTTAAGGAAATCAGTTATTCCATAATAATAGATTTCTTTAAGTATTTTTTACAAAAGAAATATCTATTCAGATAAAAGTATAAAATAGATCATAAAAATCACAATCTTTTAACCTGCGTCATTTATCACTTGTAATAATAACTGTTAGCTCATATTAATAAAGCAGAACTCATCAACCTACACAACCAATTCAATCTCCTGTTCATGTTCATATGTCTCTACATAAATTACAAAGCAGAACCTTGGTTTACTAGAAAATGCGAGATATTGATTAGGAGCATGTACTACATTCGAAGAGCAAAAAAGCATTGTAACAAATGCAAAAGTGTTATACACAGCATACTGTTGCAAATTCTTTTAAAAACTGTTCCTCCGAATTTCTAAAGAAAATCATTAATTAGCATTGTACACGATACTCTAGAACAACACCGTTCAGTTTTAACATTATGATTATAATGGGACTTCTAAGAGCTCTCTACAATGTTATTTAACTGTATAAAGTAATAACAAATCCTTATCTCTTTCTTTGCGTAATAACATTATACGATCGAATCTCTTTTCAAACATGTGAGATTTTTTAGTTAATATCTGAAAAAATAGTAAAAACGTTAACATTTAAAACAGTAAAAATTTTACATTTGGTACTGATCTGAAAAAAAAGACTCTGGCTTGTCAATGCACTACGTACGAGGTCCAAGCATAGGGATAACTCCGTAAACATACGAGATCAGATTGGTTCTGTGTTCTGCTTTCTCTTTTGACCGCCAGATGGAAACATGTTGTAACACGACCAGTCAGCTATCAAAAATCATCGTTCTAATTACCGCATATCTCTCCTTATTTTGTCAGTTGGTTCGCGCAATCACCGTGCTGTATCGGGAGTGTATCCTGGCAATCGGAATTTTGGCGCCGTATCACCGACGCGACATCAGTGACAGCGTAAACGGTTATGTTAACGCGGCGTACATCTCGTACGCGTATCGTTATTGTTGCACACCTAATCGTGTTTTCTCTCACTTATAAGATAAGAGTGATTGTGTGATACCTCTTATGGAGAAAAAATGAAAAATGTAAAGTGGATGAAAAGAAAAACGTTTTTAGGTACTGTCATGTAAACATACCAATCGCAATTTCGTTTGTAATGATAGTATCTGCTTAGAATACATTTATTGTTTGCTTAGTAAGTAGATCTCCATCCTAGCACTAAGTCAATCATATGAGAAATCTTGATTTTTCTCTGTATCATTAAAGGGATGCAATATGCTTAATCTCGTTGTCGAAAGCTTTTTAATGATAAATACCACGCGTGCAAGCAATCATTTCAATCTCTGGAGCAAAGACCTTTTGTCTGAAATTATCTATTCCAAATGTTGATACTGCCTTGTTAAGATTTAATGAGAAACATTTGGAGATCGAACAGGTAAGTTAATATACATGTATATGTATATGTATATGGATACGAAATTACTGAAAATGATATTTTCTTTTTCTTTTGTTTCCCATTAAAAATATTTCAGTTTTTGGTAATATCGAGATTTTATAATAAATAAATTCGTACAATATAGCTCTGTCTCTTTCACTCGCTCCTTCTATTATTCACTCTCTTTCTCCCTTATTTTTCGATAATTCATAAATACATATGCACAGTGATTATCACGAATCGCCATTCGATGAATACAATATGTTGCGATCAAGACTGCTGAAAAACGAATGAAATCAAGACTTCATGAATTGACAAGGTGTGTAGAACAGTAGCTTAGTCTACGTATGCCACTATAAATACTTGGTGAACGGGCTTTTGACTTCAACGAGCTCAAGGCTCGTTTTTCGATATAGTGAAAAATAGCTAAATAACCTGATCAAGGGCAGAAATCTAATGGATGGAATGTTCCGAATGCAAGGTGTCAAAGATGTACCAGATATTACAAAAATTGAAACAACTTAGGTTTCATATAAATGCGCTACTCGGTTTTCAGTAACCTGCAGCCAAGGTTATGTCTTGTGCGTCTTTTGTGGCTGTATTGTCAAAATCAGCTGCCATTGCTATAGCGTGCCATTCCACTAGCTTGCTTGTGACTTTTCTTTTCGTTCTGCTTAGTTACTTTACTTAGTTTTTCCACCGAACCGCGGCCCGCCACTGCTGAAATTTCATTCAACTTCTACGGTTTCTCTTATTCTCTGTATTTAGAGAGTCGCATAGTCGTAGTACATAGACGTTGTGTTCGTCTCTTCCCGCAGAATAAGCGGTACATTCTATCGAAGTTTTACTTTCTTTTTTTTTATTTTTTCCGATACGGCGCGATAGTTCATCTTCATAATTTGTATAAACATTTACATTATCCATGTTCTTAGTTATTTTTTTACATGAAAATGTTAAGTACAGTATTATAATATTCATTTAATTATTTAGATGTAGCATAATTATATACAATTATTTGAATTGTGTTTCGAAAAATTTACCCTGATAATATTAGATTGTATTATATCGATAATGTATTCAAAATAATTTTCTGTTTTCATATGTTACAGGTTCCGGTGACTGTTATCGAGTCGTACATCTTAGGATAAGAGACCTAAGAAGCGGCGATTCGAGACTATCGTTAATCAGGATTTAGAAGATCGAGTTTCCTATCTGGTACTAAATAAACAGAGAAGAAGCGCGAATTTGGTGTGATCGCGCTAAATGCAGTGGTCGAAGGAGGGATGGACCCATCAATGTTTGTTGCGTATAATCCTCATACAAATGGCGTTCCACTAGAGTCCAAACTTGCTACCTACATGGTAATTTACGTTCTTCTGCAATTTATTCGATGAGAGCCAAACTTTAGTAAAAATTTTCATCTTTTGATATATATTTATATGGAAGACTAACTACGACGTGCTTCTATTCATAAATTTGCCCACTTTAAAACTTTGCTGCTATCTTACNATGAGAGCCAAACTTTAGTAAAAATTTTCATCTTTTGATATATATTTATATGGAAGACTAACTACGACGTGCTTCTATTCATAAATTTGCCCACTTTAAAACTTTGCTGCTATCTTACCATATTTAAGAATCCTGTACACGTTTGTTTATAGTATTCTCATTATTTGTTCGATAGAATCGACACAGTCAAGGAGTAGTTCTAAATACCCCCGCACTTACAAAACATTTGGCGGGCCTTACTTTGGATTCGCAGAAAAAGGTAACTGCTAGTCCAGAATTTGTACCAGGAAGGTGTCTTAATAACAGCAGCAGCAGCAGCTCTCCGAATCTTTTCAATAATTCTTATCATTCTCAAGAAAATGTGGGTGGTACGACTTATTTTTACCTTGGGAATGCTGCCAGCGAGTCTGTGGGAACGGAGGAAGGAACTGAAACTGTAAGGAAAGCTTTGATTTTATACACCTTTTGTTCCAATCTTTGGCGAACTAAGAGAAATTTCTTCCGGCAGATTGGAACTGCAGGAACAAGTCAGATAGGATACGTCTATCCGGGCACGCCCTCGCATCTGCAACCTGTGAAACCAGCGAAACCTCCATCGTCCAATAACTCGTCAGCTCCGTCGACTCCGCCGCCTCAGGCAACGCCTAGTTTCTTTATCAGTGAGAGCTTACGAATGGACATTCTTCAAAAGAATGCGTTAACGTTAGCACAACCCGACATTGCACAGTTCCCCGACTTACCAGACGAGGTAGACAATTACCATGAATTGTGTCCGCTAGAACCGATTCATAAACCTGCCTCAACCATGCTTGGGTACCAAACTTCAACGTACAAAGCTACGAGCATCAAAAGTGGTACAAGATACTGTTTGCGTCGCATACACGGTAAGTTTTCACAGATTTTTCTCGCAAATCGATCGATCGAACGAAATGCCTCCGACGAACGATATTTAAGTAAGCATTTTATTTCTCAGATTTCAGACTTGCCAACACAAAGTGTATGGTGCTGGTAGATATGTGGAAACGATTATCGCATACCAATTTGGTACAGTTGAGAGAAGTTTTCACTACCAAGGCCTTCGGCGATCATTGTATGTATTAATGCATCGATCCTGCAAAAGCACACTGTCTTCTCTATAAATTCTGGAACATTTTCCCAAAATGCGTTCAGATATTGTCGTGTGTGTAGCTCAGAATTATAAAAGTCGATTGTAATTATTTTGTAGTAGCGAAAATCGTGTGCCCCGTCCAATGTACCCCGTTGCAGAGTTAAAAATCATGCTACGCGTTCTTATATAATCTTATATAATTCTCGTAATTTCAGCCATGGTATTTGTCTACGACTATCATCCTGGCTCCGAAACATTACTGAACAAGGATTTCTCGGCGACCGAATTAAATGGCTACACGGATCCGTTCTCGTCGGATCCAAACGCGCCTCGGCCATACAGTCACACGAAGAACACGATCCTCAGACAACAACAAAGTAGTATGTTACCAGAGAGTGTAATCTGGAGCTACATAATTCAATTGACCGCCGCCGTTCGAGTTATACACGCTGCTGGTTTGTACAACTATAAAGTGGTTATCCCGCCCTTAGATCGACTCGATACTCTCTGTTCAACCACTAACCGATGAAATTTTGCTCACAGGTTTGGCTTACAGATGTTTAGACCCAACAAAAGTGTTGCTCACGTCGCGGACAAGACTTCGTTTAAGCTGCGCCGCTATACCAGACGTGGTCACATTCGACGGGAACGCTGCCACACCACTCTCGCTAATTCCACATTACCAGCAAGAGGATCTAATTGCCCTAGGGAAATTGGTGTTGGCTTTAGCGTGTCGCAGCCTCCTTGCCGTCCATCGCGACAACATGCAAGCCTCTCTCGAACTCGTCGCACGTACCTATTCCACGGATTTACGGAATCTTATATTGTTCGTATAACAGAATATAGTCTTTTCGTATCAACAAATTGATTTGTTTGCCGCGTGTGCTAAATTTTTATGTATAATCGTTCAGGTATCTACTTTCCAATCAAACACGAAGGAGCGTGACGGATCTCATGCCAATGATCGGAGCCCGATTTTATACGCAATTGGACGCCGCTCTACTGCGATCCGACGAGATGGAAGATGAGCTTGCCAAAGAGCTCGAGAACGGCAGGTTATTCAAATTGATCGTGAAACTGGCCACCATCAACGAAAGACCCGAGCTTAATATGGAACCGACATGGGCAGAAACGGGTGACCGATACATGCTCAAATTGTTTAGGGACTACGTGTTCCACCAGGTACTGGCCGATGGAAGACCATGGCTGGACATGGCACACGTTGTATATTGTTTAAATAAGTTGGATTCAGGATCTCAGGACAAAGTATGTTTCATTCAAAATTATCTTTCTCTTACAAAATCTCCCTATATATATATGCTACTTGCAACATTTATTTCGCGAAAGAGATGATATTGTGTAGAAAAATCAATCGTGAATATTATTAAACGGATGTCGTTGCATTAAAATGCATGTTTATATTCGTTATTATAAAGTAGCTTTTTCTGATAATTTCTATACACATACATCATCCATATTCCTATATCTCTAGATATTTATCTATATTTCTCTGTTTGTCTACGTTTCTAGATATGTTTGACGTCGCGAGATGGACAAAGTGTATTGGTAGTAAGCTACGCCGAGTTACGGCAATGCTTGGAAACCTCGTTTGGAGAACTGGTACAATCTGCGAAGGAAACTGTCTAGGTCTGTGTCGCGTTATTTTTTCTTCCTCATCGAACCGACCAGACAGTACATACTCCGAACCATAAATGTGATATCACCAGTTAGCGGTACTACCATTTTAAACTTTATCAAGAGACATAGGACAGTGAGAGACGTGGTCCGAGATTCGAATCATTAGTGAGAGAGAGAAAGAGAGAAAGAGAGAGAGAGAGAGAGAGAGAGAGAGAGAGAGAGAGAGAGAGAGAGAGATACCACACCGAATGTATTCTGGTAACTGCCATTCGACTGTAACATATGTGCGCGTGTGTGAGAGTGCAAGGTGACCAGTGTAAATCTGAAGAAAATCAACCGGCCGAATTTTTGCTGCTGACGTACTACGCAAGGAAACAAAGTAGGGAATACAGAACAGAACGTGTATACAACTTAATAATGCAATGAAGTCTTAAGAAGTCTCTTAAGAACACCTAAACACAGTCTGTGTATAGAATAGATCTTAGATTTTAGGATACAACTGTAAGCATTAATTTTGAAATAAATGTTTATTTTTGAAAGCAATCTTAATCGACGCTGTTTTCTTATTCAACAGAAATATCATCGAGAGAATAATCCTCCTTCATTAAATCTCGCGCTCGGTTCATTCCACTGTATCCAGTTACCGATCCGTAGATTCGGTTCTTGAAGTGTCCTATCTGCATTCGAGTCGAAATAAAAGGCATATCAGACATCTGTTTCTGTCGAAGACACGTCGACCGACCGCTGTCCGGCCTGACCAGTTCTCCGCCTAATTGTATTAACGCCGACGTGATTTACTCTCCCGCGCTACGTTACTTTTGACAATCACTCCCACGTGCACGTATCAACCGTGTACGCGTACCATGATTATTAACGAAGAACGCCAACCAATAAGAAGCAAGCTCTGCTGACGCAAGACGGCCGAGCCAATTTTTCGGCTTGCGTTTTCGCTAAGGAGAAAGTTGCTTCAAATGATCTGAGGAACCCTCCAGTTCCGGATTCCGAGACATTTTTGAGACACCCTGTATAATACACGTTTTGTATTCGCATAAATCTAAAAGTGCCAATCGCCACGTTGCAACTAGACCGAATCTTACTATATAAAATACATTTTGATACATATGTTAAATAACTTTGAATACATGTAAATTACACTAGATTACCAAATTTCATATTCTCAGGATGTGTGCACTTTGTATTATTAAATCATATGGCAGGACAAAAAAAAAAAAGAAAAAACCAATCTTCTCAACTGTCTCTTGTTCGTCACTTCATTTACTACATCTTGCTCTGTTGTTATATTTATTCCAATGTCCTAAAAAGGCATCATTTCTCGTTATTATATTATTATAAACTACAGAATTTTTAACAATTAATTAAGTTCGGTATCGAAGCAATATCTTTGACTTTGATAGTGTTGACATAAAATTTTTGATCGATGTTACGAAATAAATAAAATACAATTAATCTTATCCATACACACACATATATAGTAATAAGTTTATCTGTAAAGCTGCATTTCTGATGAATGCACGTGTTCTGCAGCAATGTACGACTGTCAACGTCAAGCCGTCTATTTATGAAACGCATGCGCATGAAACGAGCATCGGCACATGGTCTACCTGATACGCATGCAGATGGCAGCCATATTGAATTTTAGTTCAAAAGTTCTTTCGTTATGTATCAGAGTTGTTCAGTAGCTTGAAAGTAAAATTTGAAACCAAGTTTGATGATATTTTTTATTATTGTTGTAATTTTTCAGTCTCTTAAGAATCATAGCTGTGTTTACACAATTTCAGTTTTTCGATAATCCGTGTTAATACGTTTCTACTACATAGGTATTTTAAAATACCTCTTTTGTGTAATTTTATCGTGATACGTTAGTGGGCATAATATCCACTTATTAAATCTATAATAAAATATTTGGGAAATTTTGGCCATGTCTTATAATTTCGAAAATAAATGTACAAATCAAGATGGTGAATCTATAGACTTCAGCAAAATATTGGACACTGAATTTTCAACGCAAACGAAAAATGTTGAAGTTACGGTAGATACTACAGATTTGCCTTTACTGCTTATAACTAATGCAAATAAAGAAGAAGTGTTGAGATTTTATTGGTGGAACGCATACGAAGATCCGTACAAAAAACCTGGAACTTAATTTGGTAAGGTCTATGTACCGTCTACGAATACATAGTGTCCTTGCCATATACAAGTTGCAAATATTCCTCGAAGAATATATTTTCTTCCCAGAGTGCATGTATGATCAAATATTTATCAAGCTTGTTTGATAAACCAAAATTGAATTCAATGAAAGATGTTTATGAAGAATTTAATGAGTTTGCAAAGAAATCAGGAATAAAAGAATTTCATTGCAGTACAGTTACAAAACATTATGCTTTTGAACAAGAAGATACTCCATTAGTGTCTGAATATTTAGAAGTCAGATATCCAGCATGGTATCCAGCTATGCCTTCCAATTATTCTGGATCATCGATAAAGCGTGTCTTTGGGACTACAGTGAATGCTTTAGAAGTATTTATAATAGAAAGAAATATTAAAGGACCCTGTTGGTTAGATGTGAAACATCCATCACCAAGTAGTTTAGACATCTGTTGGAGTAAAATAAAGGTATAATAATTTAATCTCTTGATTTGATCTATCGTTAAGTTCTAAAGCTCAACAAATTGTATAACATAACAGGTGACTTGTGCGAAGATGGAAAACATATCAGTTTGTTCCGAGCCTCCAGCTTCACCACCATTAACAATCATGACTTTAAATGTATGAACATCATCGAATTTGGAATCTCGAGAGAATGAAATAGTCATGGTTGCGGTATTAATACATTACGAATTTCAGAGAAAATTTTCTTTCGCTCTCCGGATAGGGAGGTAAACTTGAAATTATACTTATTTCGTTTTATCCGGTATATTAAAAGCTCTAATATAGTCTTAATTTTTTAGTATTCAGAAGTAGAACTTTACAAACAACTGTGTTTTTATCGTTATCTATTTAACGTTAGTCGATCAAAGTACAAAGGTATGTATTCAAGAAAAATGAATAATTAAAACTCCTTGAAAGGAACGTAAAAAGTGCCATTTATGTGCTTTCAGACTTACTAACTCAATATCCAGAAGGTATGAGAACAGCATACAATCGTTTAAAAGGAGAAATAGAAAGGGTATTGGAACGAAGTTCATTTTATTTTGTAAACTTGGACACGTTATTCCAAACGGTATATTTACCACACAAATCAAGAGGTCGAGATTCACCTATGAATCAGATGATGAGATTTGATAAGTTCAATCGATATGCAGAATTGTTTCTTTATTTTTGGTTTTACAGATATGTGACATAAAAAATCATCTATTTAGTTGTATATTTTGTTAACACGATTGCCGTTAACGATTCACGTAAAAATGTGGTGCAAGAACACCATTACTATTCTCGCCGCACGAAATATGAATAATAAATATGGAAACCCAATTTGAAAATTACAAATATCCCAATACTTTATGAAATTTTTAACTTGACACGATATAAAACGCAATGTTCAAATAAATCACAAATTCAAATATATTAAATAAATAAAACTTCAATATATATTTGCACTTTCATCGTTTGAATATTGCGCCCAATGAATTTGTACTTTCCAAATGATAAAGAGTGTCGTAGTGCAAATGAGGTATACAGAATACTCTATTCTGACTAAGAAGATTCGATTTCTCAAATATCGGTAACGATGACCGTGATACAAAAATGGCAAGGGTGTCAAATTTACTCCCATATCTCGTCTGTGAAAATAGATTGGGTGTCAGATGTATTCCCATAGGACGTTTGTGTTCTGGAGCCCAATTTTATACAGAATGAACACATCGTGTCATCTATTCGAAGAATATGTAAGTTCTTAGTTGAAAAAGTTCCCGTAGCTTCTGTGTAGATGGCGGTCGGCACCATTAAAATTCAAGCTTGTATTTTTCGCGATTAATATTTATAGAACGAAGAGAATTTGTAAACAATTCATCTATCAAATTTACAGCGAAAAAGTTTTGCACATGCATTATTAGCGCGGCAAATGCTATAGAAGAAATAGCCGTTTAGTTTCATTTAGGGGATCGAAGGACATACATATTGGACAATTAATTAATCATTTATTCTTACTCGATACCATCGTTTATACATTTCACTTAGAAAATCTACGTTGTAAAAGTCAGTACATCCATTATCAACACAGACAAGATTGTTCGTTGGTTGTATTAAAGTTTACGCGTCCATCGTAAAATATTTTACAAAATAATTGTGCACATTACCTGTATATATTGTTGAGCCAACCGGGCAATTGAGCCATTCGGTTGCTTTCAACAAAGTGACACCGGTGAACGCAAATCGTTGCGACGACGCAACGGACTGTTAAATAAGGCACTTATACAAAAGCTACAGTACAACAGCAACGTAGAAAAATATCGTTTCTTTGACAATTTGGCGATTAAAAATTATTGTGCGAACATCGATAAAAAACGGTAAAGAGTAATATCAACAATTCGAAAAGCTCGATCGATCTGGTCGATTTCGAAAATCGCATGTGCTTTCAACCCTCTTTCCATTCACGATCACCGTACTTAATAGTTGCAGTCTGCGATAGGGTTAGTTTTGATAAACAAATGACTTTTCCTACATTTTCAAATGCATAGTGGATACAAAGATTTTGCGGTGGATCGATACGTAGACTGCACATTTTATGGATCGAAGATGTCTATAATTTAACGCGATCTTCATTTTATATTCGCGTTTCCGTCCAAATATTTACATTCGACACTGGCGGTAAAGAGGATCGACCGCTCTCGTATACATCCTGATCGGATAAAGCCTCTGTGCTGTTCACGAAGAAATAAATAACTTGTTTACAACTGCGCCGATCCTCGCCACGTGGAATCGAAGCCACAGGCGGTATCGGAATCGGAATCATTGTTATGTTGCGATCTGGTGGTAGCGACGACAGTGGTGGACGTTGGTCGTCGATGTTGACTCGATCGGGACACTTTGCCCTGTAGCAAAGGTGTGCTGGGTTGGCTGGCTGTGTGATCCCGCGACGATCCAAAATCCTGTGCCCTTCGACTCCTCCTCTTCTTGATGGCTGCGTACTTCGGGGGTGGCATCATCTTCTGGTCCAACTGAAGAAACAGTCAAAGTTATTTTCGATTCTTCGGTTCTAGCAATCCCCATCGGGCAACGTTTATGGTAATTTCACTTAACCTTTTAGGCACGGCTGAATTCTGCGCGAGGCTATTTCTTTGTACGGCAGAGTCTGATATGTACTGTACAGAGTGTCTGTATATTCTCTCTGTCTGTATATTGTTAAGATATAGTTATATTGTTAGCAGTTATATTGTTAAGATAAGTCTGTATATTGTAAATCGATGCGAAGACAAAAGAAGTGTGAAATAATGCATACGAAGACGATTATTTGATTCGAACGACGATCGAGTGAGCTACTATAGTGGTAAGTAGTATAGTATAGTAAGTAGTATAGTAATATAGTATAGTAAGTATAGTATAGTATAGTAAGCCACTATAGTGGCGCGTCGTCCAGAGAGACGACATCCGCGAAAGCCACTATAGTGGCGCGTCGTGACTAAAAGGTTAAGCTTGGAGGTTTCTTAATACAATCTTTTGGCGATTTTTACGTCTTTTCAAAGCTTCACCATTTCGTAAAGGATCAAATTTCTGGAAAACTCCGACTCAACTTAACCGAAGTCGTTGAATCATATTTTGAGAACGGATTTTTATTTTTCATGTCATGTTCGATTAACTTCGCTTCGATAGTGAAAAACTTCGAAGACGCTTGCTCCAAGATATTCGATGTAAAATGGTTATAAAAATATTTCCGAGAAGCTCGATAAAATTTGTAAAAATTATTCGTTCGTCAACTTAAACCCAAAGTAGGATGAACTTTCCATTCGATTCTTTGTTAACCGAAACGCGTTAAACCCTTGCCGTACCATTATCTTCGCAGTTACATCCATTCGAACTATTTCAATTGCAATCATCTCTTAGAAGCGAAAGAAGATTTCTGTTCATTTCATGTCGACGTTTATTTAGACGTTTATTTCGGATGTTTAAACATTCGCGACAAGAGAACCGAATCTGATTCGTACCTATAATAACATTCGTACTCGTCGGGTTATTATTAAAAGTCTGCATCATGAATCGGGCATAGTCGAGGTACAGCAAGGGGTGAATGCCGACGAATTTACGAGCAAGAAATCGGACGGATCGGAGCCACCTTTTTACCATCGCACGGAATAGTTACTAGAAGATTCGCGAAAGCCGAGTAAAACGAATTTTCTGGCCGAACCTCGAGATCGAACGTCTTCCGCGAGATCCCCGAGCGATTTAGCTCCCGGTCAGCTTCCCCGGCAGCCCGCGTCTCGCGAAAGTGCACCGTGCGGCGACCGCGATCCAACGTAATCATCTCTGGACGCTAAGTAACGATTTTCGATTAAAATCGTGCGACGAAGTATCCTGTTCGGACGAAGGTCGAGGAGGACCCGTGCCCGGTAATTTCCGCGCATCCTTCAGCGCCGAGGAAAGCGCGCGCGTTAATATTAAAAACGAGTTCGCGTATTCGTCGCATAATCGGCGGAGCCGGGGCCGCGTCCAGGGGTTGAATAATTATAGAGGGTCAAAAGCGGTGCGGCCCCTCTCGGAGCGCGCGTCTCGCCGGCAATTTCTCGACGGAAAGGGGGGCCCGTCCGTCCGCCCGTGTACCTGCACATTATCCGCCGAGCCCCAGCTCTTGTGTATCTTCTCGTGGTTGTTGCTGCTGTTGTTGCTGCTGGCACTGCTGCTAGTCGCCACACCCAGGAACTGGCTGAACGCTTCCGTCGTGCGTTTCACGCGCTCGTTCAGCGAGCCAATACGCAGGAAACCAAGATCTTTCTCTGCGTGGTGAATCAACGATCGTGTTAGTATTACGCGTTGCTCGCGAACGCGAACCCTGATGCCAGGTCTCTGTTCGTCTTTGGTCGTCCTTGGCCGACCGATTTCCGATTTCCGGAGATCGAGAACTTGGGAGAACGGTGGCGAGCTTCTCTCCCTACCTCGTCGCGCGAGAGATTAACCCTTTCGGTGCGAGCGCGTTGTCCGTCGTGACACTCTCACTGTACGGGGTACCGCGCCGAAAATGCGCGCATAACGCAGGGTCGGTCCACTTTTGTACGAAGATTTTCTTAAGCGTTAAGCAACGACTGTGCTTGATCCGTTTCTAAATCTTTTGTTTCCTGTAAACATTCTGTAAAGGGCCTACAATATGTTCAAATCTATGAAGAAGTTTCGAAGAAAAATGTGACCTGAAATTTTTTAAATCGATTCAGATCAAACGACAATTATACCTGTAGCTGTTTTTTCGGAATCCTTGTAAGAAAAGACTTTTGAAGACCGTTCGAGTCCCAGGGATTATTCAGAAAACACGGTCGAAAAATGCCGAACAGCGTGATAGCGCTGCTTGGGACTCGAACGGTTATTAGAATAGTTTCTAATATGTCAGAAATATGGCTTACGTGGATGCCAGATGTATTCGGCACTCGTCCATATTGGTCATCGGATGGATGCCGGATATATCCGGCGTTCGTACCGAAAGGGTTAATATCTTGCCAAGGTCATCGGTCTGAGAGAAGGTTATTTACTCAGTCAGCGCAAAGAATTCCATAATCGAATTAATTTCAAAACACTTTGGCCATAAGAATCTAGATATATTATCCGTTTTTCTCATCATTTAAGTTTTTGATATATAATTTAATTACCCGGGGAAAAACATCTTTCATTATTTAAAAGATCCTCGCCGGTCAAAACTTTAAATGTATTATACGTTTTAAAAAAAGTTTAGCTATTACATTTTTTGACCGTTAACCAGCCACGAGTGAAATGTTAATATTTTCTAGTGCAGGGTGTTTCTTTATGAAAGTTTATTTAAACATGTCGGTAGCTCGCCAATGTTCTGCAATATTGCATCTGTGATCTGCAAAGTTGCATGTTGCGATCTCCGGAAATCTTTGCTTCCCGAGCATTACTTTTGTTGTTTCGAAGGTGATCGATCGCATGCGTCTAATCTAAGAGGCCGGAAGTGGTTCTGGGGATGTTGAAATATCGAAGATACGTAGACGATAAAAGAAGGAAATAGATGTTTCAGGTATTGTTAAGGTCTTAAGATCGATCTAACGCGGACGAAGTAGAAGTGAATGTTACGTGTTACTTAAAATAGGTACAATTAATTCCAGGCCAGGTGTGGTTCGAATTAGACTGAATTAGGTCCTAGCTAGAATTTAATTAGTTTCCGTTAGATATATGGATTAGTGAATAAATAATAATGACTAG